AAAAAAAATAAAAAGAAGAAGAAGAAGAAAGAGAATAGATTCAGATTAATGAGAGAAATAAAAGGGCAAAGAAAATGAACTATAAAGTAAACTGAGTTATTTATTGACTTCCTTTGACCTTGTATGCTGATTAGTAGGTTCAATTACCAGTTTTTCCCCCGACATTCTCCAATTTAGAGACAAAATTTTTGATAAACTTTTTTTCCTAAGTATCTTAGTCATGTGTAGTGGCTTCATCCCATCAATTTTCTTCTGTGCCCTGTGACACTGACTTAGTGAGTGGCAGGAGAAAGAAATGAAACAACCTCTGTGATTACAAAACTCCTAACAGTGTACCCCCAGACCACTAGGAGGGGTGAGCTGTGAGGGTGGATCTCAAGTATGTGATAGGAGACCAGCCAAAAGAAGTTCCACTCAGACATCACCCCCCTTCCGCACAAGCCCTGGCATTCTGAGTTATGAGAGAGGTTTGTTTTGGCCTTCAAGGGATAAAGAACCTCTATTCTTAACAAATATCAAAAGCACAGAAAATAATCTGATATGTAAAATTCAACTATCTCACTTGACACCCATGTTTTTGTTGTTGTTGTTGTTATGTGCCGTCAAGTCGGCCTCAACTCATAGCGACCCCCTCCTTCCTTCCGAGGAGTGGCTGGTGAGTTTGAACCACCAGACTTCTGGTTATCAGTCAAGTGCCTTAGCACTATGCTACCAGAGCTCCCCGTAGTCTTGATATATTTATTGAATAGAGATCTTGCTCTGTCATATTTGAATATATTAACAAACAAACAGAAGGTTCCAGACTTTTATGTTTATGGTAACATGAATGGTAGAATGATAGTCACACAAATATTTGCAGTTTTCTGAACACATAAGCCTTCGTGAGTACAGAGACTCCACATCCCATGAGATGGGAAGAAAAATTATGTTTCAGAGAAGGCTAAGCCATGAGTCCCTTACTCACCCTAAAAGGAGAAACTATGCACAGTCTTCTGGGAGATCTAGATTGCCTTAGCATGAAGTACTCTGCACATGTAATAAAGGCATGTTCTTACAGCACAATTCTTTTTAAAATCAAATAAATACATACACTTGAAAAAATGACATATATTTATAAAACTGGACTAAAGCAGTGGGATTCAGGGTAATGAAGGGTAGCTCTATCTCTTGCTTTTTAGTGACTAGCACATATATGGGGTAACATAAATAATGACACAAAATATGATCAGCTTTCTCCTAATTGGTATTGATTGCCTACTTTGGCTGTTCACTGTGGGCTCAAGTTAATAGAAACTCTTTGCAAGTGCTTTTCTTTTGACTTATCTGATGCTAATTCTGTCAACATATTAATCATTTTAATTAATAGTCATCTGTTAGTCTTAGACTTTAGCCTCAGAGAAGGCTCAGGGGTATCTCCCTCAGGCATAGCTATTCAGAGTGCAGATGGTAAGAGGGCCTGTGTTTGTTCCTTCATTTGGGAGGCAAGGGGAAAAGATAGGTCTGAGAGCTTCTTGGAAAGAAGTTGGAGGGAAACTATAGATGAGGGACTCATCTTTCACATTGTAGAATGCTATATGTCCAGATTCATAGTCTAAAAAAACACCAACCATATGAACAGGCTCTTTAACATGTTGACCTTTTAAAGGTGATGAGACCCAAAGACTATAATCATCTCCAATCTTTAAACCGATGAGTGAGAAGAGGTCCCCAGGGAGTTTTGGATGGTTCCCCTTTCTGCTCACTGAGTCTTTACAGATGCCCACTTCCCATTCTGTCTTGTTTCCTACTTCCACCTCCCAATAGTGTCTCCCACAGGTGAGGATCTGAGCACCCAACACAGTTGCAGACTGGTCAAATCTTTCTGGGTTGTCAGGTAACGGCTGTCTGGTTCCCCCATGTCTAACACTTTTCAGATCAGCAGACAGGACTAGATAGGCATTGGCTGTGTCTGGATCCAGAGTGATGTCTGCTGCAAGAAAGAAAGAATGAATCATCCTCTGACATTCTTAAAAATGTGTATATTTGTGCAATTTAAATTAAATTTGCAGTATTTTGTCACTTTTTTAATGTAATTTAGGTGAGGATGGTGGGTTTTGTTTATAATAGAGTCACTAAGCTCTTCTTTCAAAAACACGTAGAGGGAATTTAAAAATAAAAAATAAATAAATAACAAGATTTATGTGAAAAATGTTTAGCTGCTTGAGAAGAATCTCTGGTTACAGAGGAAGTTGTCTTGTTTAGAAGACAACTTTAGAATTCTGAGCTCTTTATCCACAGAGGGTATCACCCAGTGGCATAGTGACTAATGCATGTGACTGCTAACCAAAAGGCCATCAATTCAAACCCACCAGCCTTCAGAGGATGGGCAATCTACTTCTGTAGTGATACTGCCTCAGAAACCCAAGGAGGCCTCACTATGAGTTGGATCCAACTTGACAGCAATAAGTTTGGTTTGATTTGGAATCTCTACTCTAGTCAAAGTTGGTCCTTGTTTTTCAGTTGGGTGGGAGAGAAATATAGACCATTATCATTTACTAAGCACCTACTGTGTGCCACACATTTTCTGAAAATTATTTCATCTAATCAACACAAGTATTGTTCATTTTTTTTCATTTTTATCTAAGAGAAAACTGAGGTTCATAAGTGTTAGTAAACTTGGCCAAGATTATAAAGTTACTATGTGTTTGAATAGCAATTCCTAACCAACATTTTTCATTATGTCATGAGTAAAAGCAACTACCTGTGAATTACTGTTGTTCCTAGTATCTATGACATGGAGCAAATTATAGTAAGGTGGGTGCCTCCTTTCCCACCTTCCGAGAGGAGGTCACATAATAGGCCTCCAACTTTCACTGACTGTCCAGACAAACTTAGGTGCCACCATCATACAATTTCATACTTTTATGTATAGGCCAAATCAAAATGGTCTATGTGATTATTGAATGTCTGTCTTCTCAATTTCACTAAAAATTCTACAAAAGCAAAAACAGTGTCTGTCTTATTCATCATTATAAGACCAGAGCTTAAGCTATCTTTGAACTAGGTACAAGGTCGGCACTTACATACTATCAGTTGAGTCCAAAGCCCACTATGCCTTCTTCTGAATGTCAGATTGTCAACAGGTAAAATTTGAGACCACGTATTGACCTTTCGTGGCCTTATTATTCTAAAAGGAAAGTTCTTTGAAAGTTCCCTCACTAGAATTTACCAGTTCAAGTAAGTTTTTATCCTAGCAAGAAAGAGCTAGAAATGCAGAAACTCCTGTAGTTATGTGAGTGTGTGTATGAGTATGTATATTTGGTGTGCATGTCTGTATGTGTGTATTCAGGAGAGGTGGGGATTAGGACAAACTAGAACAATTAAAAAAAAAAACAAAACAGAAGGATCAGGACTCCATGGGCAGAAAAACAAAGTCAGTCAGATCAAAACATCAACCAAGTCACCCTGTTTCTCTTTTCTCAAGGACAGAGATGGTCAGTTGGCCCCAGTGTTCCCAGTGTTTAATGGTGACTCAGGAAACCTTACGTGAGGGCCTGGCACCAAGATGGCAGAGATTTGATGCTAGAGGAAGTTGCCTAAAGGATCTTTTTGCATCCCTTGACAGACATTGAAGTTAACTCTAAAATTCCCTGAAGATTTGACAAATCAGGTTGACTTACTGCTGAATTTTCTCAACATCTCCCTCATTCCTGTGATGCGGCATAGACTCAGTTCTGTGGTGGTGGCCTCTGGGCACTGATTCAAGAGTGGTTCACTCCTACAAGAGGGAAGAGACAGTTACGCTCTCTCTTTGGCACTTACCAGCAACTTGTTCCTATTTGACAGTCTATTTCATTTTGCCCTAACAACATAGACACTTCCACCTCTACTCTCACTAAAATAAATAAATAAATAAATACCCAAACTCACTATCATGGAGTCCATTTGACTCATAGCGACCCCCTTTGGGTTTCCAAGGGGATATCTCTACGGAAGTAGATTGCCTAATCTTCCTTCCGAGGAGTGAATGGTGGGTTTGTACCCCCAAATAACCTGTTTTATCAGCACCAAATCTTTATATCTTACATTAGAACACAAAATAGAAACATACCATTCCAGGAGTTCTCTCACTTCCTAAGGGTATAAAAGAAGGAGAATTAGTATTTGCACACTTTGATCATTAGTAAGACTGAATCCATTTTGAGTACAGTTCTTTGTAGAGTTTACAGAATCCATCCCCATAGCTCTTGAGTGAGAGAACAAATGACAGAATAAAAAGCCTCCGTTTATTCTATAGGTGGTTCCTGGTGAACATAAAATATTTTTCACAATGACTAGAGACTACTTTGTCTTCTTTTTTTTTTTTTTTCCATGTCATCATAGAACCTTGTTGAAAATGGAGACAAATAGTCAAGCTCCTTAGACAAGGTCTCGGGAACCAGAGATAAGCAAAGGAAAATGGCTTGATGATAGCTGGGGCTAACCCTCTATAAGGTTTGAGGAACTGGTTAACAAGAACTAAATTAAATAGCAGCATTCTGTGTGACCAGTCCAAGAAACAGACCTGCAGCTGGAATTGACTTACATGGCTTATGTTTAAAATGGTCCTGAAGAATACAGTAGCCTAGGAAGGCAGTATAATGAAGATGGTAACAAGTACAGATTTGGTACACAGAGTACCTGGGTTTACCAACTATTAGCTATTTGGCAAACAAATCACCGAACTGCCATTGGCCTCAATTATTAAGTATGTGCCAAGACTTAAGATTAAGTCAGCTTTTATAATGACCAGTACAGCTAAAAACACAGAAACCCCTGCAAGAGATATTTGTGTGGTTGAACATGTTATAAAACCCACTTTATAGATGATTTTCATCTATAAATATCATATACTACTTATCTTCATCAAGTCTTTATGAAGATTAAATTTTATGTACCTGGCACTAGTAAATACTAATAAATTAAGTAAAATATGTGCCAAAACAAAGATTTCAGAGAGGTGGGCACAAAAGAAATTGGGTTCATTATCAAGCTTGGTTGGGATATGTATTCCTGTGTTGTTTTTTTTTTTTTTTTCCTTCCTCATTGTCAATATTTTATTTAGGATGTTAATTCTTTAGAAAAACTACATTTGAGACAGAACTTAGTTTCAATTGAATAACAAAAATTGTTCTTCTTATGACTCAAAATATTGTGACTTGTATATTTCCTTCCATTAATTTTCCCAACATTCTCATGAATTTTAATCTCACCTCAAATGATTCTATACTTGAATTCTGACACTTGGACTCTATCTGTCCAATCATTTTGCTTAGGCTTCTGATATGTTGGGTCAGATGGATTTCGTTGTTCCTCAGTTTCTTCAAGTTCTCTTTTTCCTCCTTTTCTAGTAGCTGGAGTTGCAGCTGTTCCTCCTCCTTCAGGAACTGATGCATTTTCATGTATTCTAACATAACAACCTGCTTACAATTCTTTGTCTCTTCCTGTATTTTACATACACGCACATACACAGGGTATAATGACATTAGTAACAGAAACACTCATATCTGTAAATTCTTATTCCTTCCCAAGTCCTTTCCAAGACATTTCTCAAAATGTGACACATTTTATATATTTTCTAATTTATATATATATATATATATATATATATATATATATATATATATATATATATTAGAAAACAAGCTCTTGTGGCTCAATGCTCATAAGACATTTGGCTGTTAACTAGAAGATTGGTAGTTCAAACCCACCAGCTACTCTGCAGGCAGAAGATCAGGCAATCTACTTCCATAAAGATTTTCAGCTTTGGAAACCCGACGAGGGTCATTATGCATCAGAATCAATGGCAGTGGTTTTGGGTTTTTATGGTATTGATCAGATGGGTGGATATTTTGATATTTCAGAATGTGTGTGCTGTAAATACAATACTAAACAAAACCAAATTTTCTATTATTAGGAGGCTGTTATTCTTGAGGGAAAGACCAAAAATAAACAGACAAATATAATAGGTGGTGATCAGTACTATGATAAGAAATAAAGCAGCCTAAGGAGAAAAACAAAGAGTATGTGAGTAGATGTTTCTACCTGCAAATTTGTATATACTGTAAGAATATTTGGGTATATATAGAGCTGACAAGGGGCAAGGCTGTGGTGGCTCCCTGAGGGAGCAAATAGTTGGACCTGTGGGCTCAGGACCATGGTAGCCAGGGACATCAAGATCTATTGGCATAACATAGTACACAAAAACGTTGTTGTACATCCTACTTTGATAAGTAGCAACTGGGATCTTAAAAGATGGCAAGCAGCCATCTAGATGCAACTATGGGTCTCTCCCCATCCAGGGCAAGGAAGAATAAAGAAAACCAAAGACATATGGAAACAATTAGTGTAAGGGACTAGTAGACCATGCAGTCCTCAGCCTGTATGATCATAAGACCAGAAGAACTAGATGGTGCCCTGATACCAGTATCAACCTCTCAGAGGAGGATCAGTGCAGGAGATCCTGGATAGAATGGGAAAACAATGTGGAGCAAAACTCAAAATCACAAACAAAGACCAGCTTAACTGGTCTGATAGAGCCTGAGACTATGGCCCCTAGTTACCCTTCAGGTTTGGAACTGAACTCACTCCTGTGGCTTCCAGACAGACAACAGAGAGCTATATGATGTAAACATTATATCAGGTAGATGCACTCCTTGGAGCAATGGATCATGGGAGAACAGAAAGGCAGTGTTTACATAGGGAGAAACTTGGGTTGTGGGAGCAAGAGTGTATGGGAGGGAAGGACATAGGGAAGATGTAACTATGGGCAGAAGTGGGAAGAGAGCTGTTACATTGTGGGGGATTGCAGTCAATGTCATAAAACAAAATGTGTATGAACTACTGTATGGAAAATTAATTTGCTCTGTAAACTTTCACCCAAATCACAACAAAAACTAAAATATAGATAGATATATATGCTATGTTTGTTGTTGTTATGTGCCTTCGAGTTGGCCCCGACCCACAGCGACCCCTCCTTGGGTTTCCTAGGCAGTATCACTACGGAAGTAGGATTGCACAACCTATCTATCTATATATAGATAGATAGATAGATAGGTATACATGTTAATTCAACTTTTTTTTTTTTCATTGAAAGTAGCATTAGTTTTCTTACTATGAATAGAAATATACATCACAAATACTCTCATTTAAGAACTTGAACTCTGGGAGAATCAGGTCCACATACATATTTTTTTAAAAAAAAATATCTAATTAAACATTTACTTCTTTGCTTGACAGAGAGGCACTTCAAATCCAAATCTGTCACCAACTTCTAGCATTTGTTCTCTGTACCAACTTAAACTACTATTTTACCTTTATTTTCATCTATCTTTCATTTATTTTTGCTTTATCACACTTCCTTTTTTTACCCAAAGCATTTGAGTTATTCCTCTTTATTGATAAAGATTCATCCTATACTATTTCTCTATAACTTGTATTTTGAATAATTATAATCTGAGACATAATATAGATAGCAAAGAGTTTTATGGGTGCACAGAGAAGGAAAAAATAGTAAGTCTGCCTGGGTAGGATGAAATAGTTTATGATTAGTCTTTAGATTTCCAAATGTACAAAGGAAATTTCATAGCCCAAAGCAGTGATGCTGCACAATTTAGACCTGGGACTGGTGGGAGGGGGGTGTGGATCTGATATTTAATCACGTGTCTCTTTAGTCCTCCTTATAGAATTATATATAAGATGCAAAAATTAGACAAATACTGACCTTACACAATATCACTCTCTCCTTCTCATGTGTTAAAATAGCCTGAGCTTCCTTTTTTCTTTTACACAACATATTTAAGATTTCCTGGAGTTTCTCCTGCAATAGAAACAAATTATCTGTGGTAAGTGAGCAGAACACTAGGTTATCAAGGAGACTTGAAGACCAATAAGATGACTGGGACCATGCAAGTCTGGAGATCGGCACCCATGACTATCATCAATAGAGAATACTATGGGAGTTACCACAGACAGCTCTGATAAGTGAGGAAATCAGATTTCTCTTCTGAGTTTTATACTGAGCAGCTAATCTTACTTTGTGATACTCCTCAGCCTCATTCAAGAGATGCCCTCTGTTTATTCCATGACTTTGGCTTGAGAAAGAGTTTATGCTCTGATCATCATCAGAGAACACTTTAGTGCCTGCCAGCATTCTCCCATGATTGTCTTGCTCATCCTCACTCTGGAGCACCTGGGACCTGAGTTGCTTGCCGATACCAGCCAGTCTCCCCAGACGTTCATTAGGCTGGAAATGAGGGATCTCCAAGGTCCTCCAGCACTCGGGACATGATAAGGGTGTTTTGTGTTCCTCCCAGCTTCTGAGAAGACACACCAGACAAAAGCTATGCCCACACTCAGTGGTCACTGGGCTGGTGAAATAGTCCAAGCAGATGAAACAGGTTAGTTCTTCTCTGAGATTTTCCATCAGATCTGCTGTAGACATTTTGTCAAGGAAGGACATCAGGGCAAGGTCACATTTCTATTCTAGGATTAGAAAAATCCTCCTTGAGGTGCCATTGTTTTGAGTGACAAGTGGGTAATCAATTGCTATGATATTATTACAAGAAACTCTTATTCTCCTCTGTGCCTGATTTCACCAATTGACATATACTGCCCAACACAAAGCCAATTATGACTCAACGTAGAACTCCTGTACATTGAGTTCATCATCAACTCCAACTTTTATTGAACTTCTATCTGTGCAAGCCATGTGCTCCAAACAGTTACCATTTTGAGAAGTGGATATTTAAATAAAAGCACTAGGATACCACTTAATCCCTTTGGATTTATCTAGAGGATTGAATAATTTAGGGTAAGCCAGTACAGAGATTTGAATGATGATGATCTGAATTGGAAGTATGGTCTAAATATTTGGGAAAATGAATAGAACCTAATTCAGACATTGAAGGAAGAAAACTGAATTATATATGCCTCCTCTCATTAGGCCCTTTTCTTAACTAAATCCTATACTTCCTAATCCTTCACAAGAACCATATCCTTTAATTTATTCATTCCAACAAAATGAGGGAAATTTCATTGTTGAAGTATTTTCTGACTTGAGATGTATAATGAATTACCAGAGTTATGTTTATTGCTTTATTCTGCTCTGTAGCCCATGGCAATCACCCCCTGTCATCAAGGAAGACATCTTAAACAACATTCTTCATGTGAGAGGGCTCGGTAGGCCCTTATACTATGGCATACATGGAAATAATCACATTCTAGCATAAACATAACTTTGCTCATATATTTTTACTCTTTGAAAATGTCCAAACCAGGCCTTCCCCAACTCTTTATTTTTACTAAGTTACTGTTAGGCAGTAATTAAATGTGTAGAGCTTTTCTTTAGATTCATGAAAAAATAAATGTAAAATGTGGTGATTTTATACAATAACCACTGAGATTAGTTCAAATCCTATAGACGTACTATGTTATTGTCAGGGCTCACCTTCTTTTTCCTGCCAGAATGTAAGAAGATCTTAAAAGCTCTTTTTCAGAATCTAACCAGTCTCATTCCCTCATTAAGTTCATCATGACGTTGTTGTTGTTGTTGTTATGTGCCGTCGAGTCGGACCCAACTCATAGCGACCCCTTCTTGGGTTTCCAATGCAGTATCACTACGGAAGTAGATTGCCCCATCTTCCTTCTGGTGAGTGGCTGGTGGGTTTGAACCGCCAGCCTTCTGGTTAGCAGTCAAGTGCCTTAGCCAGTATGCTACCAGAGCTCCCTTTCTATTTTTATCCTGCCATTCTCTATCTTGGCAACCTTCTCTTGGCAATCTATACCCAGTGCCCAAGATACTCCATTCATTTCTTTCTTTCTTTCATGGCTCCGATTGATCAAGCATTCCTTTCCATTTTCCCACATGAAGTGGAGTAATTTCTTGTCTTGCACTTTTGATAAAGTTGTTTTCTGGCCTAGAATGCTTTTTCCTCCATCTTTCTTCTTCCTAGTCCAAACTCACCTTTTTGAAGTCATTGTTAGCTGCATTTGAAATGTTTCATTCACTTGTCTTGCATTTATGAATTATTAGGATAAGAGTCTAAATTAAGGAAAAGAAACAACCAGAGCAAAGTCTAAATAGGAAGAGAGGTGGCATCAGATAAAGCTCACAAAACCTTTCTCAGACTGCTTCTAGGCCATGAACTAGGGCACAACTTCAATACAGTGTTAGGAGTTCATGCTAGGTAAAGTTCTTAAAAACAATAAAAGTATCCAAAATAATACACCAACTGCCACCACTGGACAAAGGATTTATAAACTGTCAACTCTATTCAGTGTTATTTCCAATCATAACCCTGAATGAATCTTTAACATTGAAAAGTATCATTAGAACAAGTCATATAGAGGAGTTATGATACATCACAAAGTCTGTATTCTAGTTTGGAATGGGGAGAGTAACATGTTCCAATTTCACATTATACTCATTAGTTCCATCCCACTTTATCTTTCAAAGTGAACCCTTTCTTTGATAAGCTCCTTAATACCATAACCATTTCTTATTCATCTGTGACTAGAAGAATATTTTGCAAGGCTCAATTTATCTGTAAGTAATTTTTTAAATTAATAAAGAGAAAGTATATTATTGTAGAATTATAGTCTTATATCTAGCTAGTAACCAAGAGCTACTTTCTATAGATGATGAGGAAAATAAATAATTTTTGAAGTAAATTGAGTTGGTCCTCCAAATACTGACTATGTACATCAGGTTAGAATTGGGAAACTGGGACTCCTGCCTCCCAATCACTCTTTTGTCAACAAACCAAACTGCATCTCAGTTTCTAAATTTTGAATTGATTAAAATATCCAGTTATTTCTCAGTGAAATGAATTCTGCTCAAATACTTTTAGGCAGAAATTGGTCAGCTGTCATTGTGGCCTGATGGTATGATGAGTAACTGAAATCACTGACCACATTCAATTGCTGGAAATGTATACTTCTTCACCATCTTGCTGAATACATTGTTGAGTAGGCTTAACTTATTTATGAAATAAAATTAAAGAGAAGGTTAAACTTCGCAAAATAAATTACACCAATCCTTGGGGCACAGCATTGCTAGGCACGTTTTCTGAGATCAGCTGTGTGAATAGCTTTTGCTCTGGCCTGTCTCCTACTGGGGAGGTGATGGCAGGGACATTCAATAGGTCTACAGTCACAACCATAATCCAGATGTAGCTAAGGATGGAGCACTTAGAAAACAAAAATCTTAATAATAGAATTAAGTCTTTTAAATTGGGGTTGGCAGAAAGTTAGATGAGGGCTTATTTGAAAAATATTTTGCTTGAAGGCTTGATTTTAAAGATGGATTATCTTAAAAATGGTTTAGGGAAAGTGGGGTAGCCATCTGAAAAATAAATAAGTAAATTTAGTTGGATCTCTACCTAGAAACTGACAGCAATGTGCATTCCAAATGGACATATGTGCAGGTATCTTACATTATCTAGTCATGAATTTCTACTCTCACTTTCCTTTTGCATTAGAGTTTTCAATTTATTTATAGTATTTTGTGTATGTATGTGTATGTGTGTGCATGTTTATAGTCCATCCCACATCCATTCAGCAAATAAGGAAAGTATCTTTTAATCAAATAGACAATTACTGTGTCCAAACAATGGAGCCTATCACAAGGGGAGAATCTTAGTAACATAGGAGAAATTTAAAATTGACTTCTACTTGGGAAAGACCCTCAATGAAATTAACTAACATGCTGGCTGCAACAATAGGCTCAAACATAACAACAATTGTAAGGATGGCACATGACCAAACAGTGTTTTATTCTGTTGATCGTAGAGTCCCTATGAGTCAGAACCAATTAGGTGGCACCTAACAACAACAACAACTCAGGGAGGGCTTTTCAAAACATACTACAAAACTTAGAAGCCATTAAGGGGAAAAAAAGGAATAAATTTAAATAACTAAAAGTCATCCACATAGCCAAAATAAATAACCAAATAAATTTTTAAATGGAATTTTAGGAAAAGAGGATTGCAACATATGTCCATTGCCTAAGCTTCTTAAATTGTATAAGAAAGTATTTAGTACATAATTATGATGAGACATCCATGATATGATAATAAAGGGAAAACTATATTTTGCCCAAAAACTAAGTATGAATAATAAAAACTAAGTTATATATGTTTGTTTCTTACAAAAACAGGATCATGTTAAAGCTATTGATAAATAAGTCTTTGCAAATGAAAGCATGGTGAAGGGATAGACACACAACAGATGAAGAGGTTAACTTTGAATAAGGGAATTGGAACACTTTCATTCTTTATTTGCATACATTTTTCAATAAAGTATATATTGATTTACTTTTTCATGTGTTTGTCAGCATTTTTCCAACAAATAGTGTTGTGATAGCAAAGAAATTTGAGATGTAATTTGTAGTTAGCCAATTAATGAAACAATTTTTTTTCAATTTGAAGGATAAGAGTGTTTCAGAAGATTGGTTTCAGTTGTGATGTACTAAAACATTTTTGTTTGTTTTGTTTTTAATGAATTGTGTGATTTCAATAATAGTGGTTTACTTATTTAGCTCATAAAATGTATTGGACCTCTATAACACATAGAGCAATGAGCTTGGTACTGAAAGCAATATAAATATGACTAAAAATTACTTCTTTGGAAGCAGGAGATATGTGCACCAAAAAGGCTGGTGGGGAAGAGGATAGAGATGGGGAGGGGGAAGGGAAAGGGGAAGAGAAAAAGAAGAAGAAGAAAACACTGAAAAGCATAACATCATGTGTGCCTTAAGAACTGACATTTTAGTGTGGGGAATATTTAATTTTGGAAGCAATAATCAGGGAAAACTTCCTGGGATACATAATATTTAATCTGGACCTTTAAACTAAGGACTTAAGTACATTAAAAGTGAAGAAATAAGCTACTATTTAGAAGTGAGAATACTCTTAGAATATTTAAGAAACAGGATACATGATCTGACAGTCAAAGAGTGTAGGATGTAACTTTTTTTTTTAATCTCAGAAGTTTTTTTTTTTTTTATTCATCTGTGAAATATTTACCTTCATCATTCTTTATAGGAGCACACTAACTTACCAGCAACATGTTGTTGTTGTTGTTATGTGCCATCAAGTCGGACCCAACTCATAGTGACCCCTCCTTGGGTTGCCCAGGCAGTATCACTATGGAAGTAGATTGCCAAACCTTCCTCCTGAAGAGTGGCTGGTGGGACCAGCAACAAAGGAAGTTAGTAAAACTCTTTCATTCTAATAGAGGCCAGATCAATGAACCAAGGGGACCAGGTGCTATAACTTCACAAAATCCATTAAAATTCCTAACTTAGCCACATTTCCTGACTTATCAAGGTGGGCAGCTGAGGTCTGGTTTCCAGAACTTGGACAACAGACACACCTTATATGAGGAATTAAGGTGAGATTGTTTGTTTGCTTGTCTTTTTCTGTAGAATGAAACTTCTATTGT